GTAAAAGACGCCGCGGTCGCTGCTAAACCCGATGAACGCAGTGGCGAGGTCCCCGTGGCTTTTGTAGTGAAGCAACCTGGCGCCACGATTACCGCCCAAGAATTGCAGGAGTTCGTCAAACGTGAGTTGTCATTCAGCCTGAACTTTTTTTGTCAGATTTTTCGCAGATTCATTAAGACGTTCTTCAATTAAAACATTATTCATTATTTCTCTTGACTATGAAGAAATGTTGGGTAATAGTGCGCACTATTTTGTTCCTTTCATATGCCATACTTCGTTCGATTATTTTCATCACTACAAAAAATTTTAATTTTAGATCTTCTCTACACTTTAAAATGATAAGTTTAAAAAACATTTCAAAGTGGATTTGAAAAATATTAGAGATATACATATAGATTTATAATCAAAAATTAAAAGTTTATTGAACTTCTTAGAATAATATAATAAAAGTTATTTGGTACGAATACATTATCGCATTAAAATTTAAATAAATAAATAAAACATAATGCCAGGAATGATATAGTAGCAGCATTCAACATTACAAACCATTATTAATTATTAATAGTTATTAGTAACATCGTGTTGTAATAATTAAATGCTGTAATCAACCAAATTGTTAGTTATCTCTGCCTTATGTAATTTAAATATACGGCTCAACAAATGCATGGAAATATTCCGCCCCATCTTGCCATTGCATTTTAATTCTCAGCTGGAGCACTATCTGTATTTCCCGATTCTGAAGCACTGGGTGTGAGACACTATCAACGTTTTCAATCGCATGTAACTTTGTATGTAATATAGAATTTGAACATTTTAATTTCTAATCGATACGTTAAATTGTCCGAAAGAAGAATAAATGGGTGCAAAAATCGACAAATTGAAAATATTCGAGATATTCAGGAGAAAAGAAATAGAAAATCTTTTAATTTCGGTTTTTTTTGGAAATTTGTAGTTTTGAGGGAAAAACCGTTAAGGGATTTCTCTAGCGGGTTTTTAAAGGTAAATGAACGTACTTTAAGAAACAAATATCATTATTTCAATTATTATTAAAAAGTATATTTTGCGTTGGGTGTAGTACATCCATAGGCTGACAAATTGCGAAAATTGGGAAATTTCCTGTTGACCTCCGGAGACTACTGTGGTGGGGAATTAGTAGTGGGTGTATGAAACTTTTTTAGCTCTTACTCGATTCCCCCGTATCCTTACGGCTTGTGAATGCCTAGCGCTATTATATACAGCCTGGGTGTGCTATACCCAGAGCTCCAGTTAATAGTAAATGTGAGCCGAGCGATGTGCACATACATTAACCGAGTAATTTCAATTTTTCTTGCAGAGAAACTGTCATTGTCAAAATGGTTGCGTGGCGGGGTACAATTTGTCGATGCCATACCGAAGAATTCTACCGGCAAAATACTACGCCGCGAACTTCGAGTAATGATCTCTAAATTGTAGTAAAAATCGCATGTCAATAGGCATATTTATAAGTTTAAATCTTCTTCGACGAAGACCTGCAAAGAAAAGCAATTAAGTTAACAGAGTACAATAATTTTTAATATTTTTTATATCGCCAAGAGCAATCTGGCAATTACTGGTAATCGCTTAAGAAAAATGCCACGTGCTAAGAAATATTTTTGCGTTAATAAACGTCTCACTGCGAAGAAGAGAGTAAGCTCCGCAAATGTCTTCGCTGCAGAAACGTAAATTTATTGCAGCTTGTTGTCATGTTGACTAATTCGTAAGTAAACCGTTGAACAACCGTTGTCGAATAAATACGAGCGTTCAGTAAATTGGTTCCACCGCCTGAAAATAGCGAGATATGGCACAGCGAGAGGGTGTTTTGAGTTATATTACACGATAATACTTCTGCGTCGATCTGTGGTGTTACGAAAATAAGCGAAGAAACTTGTTGCATTACACATGAAAAACACGAGAGCGTGCACGCATGTGCTCCCAGATTTCATCAATGTTTAACTTCTTTCCTTTTTTGCGATGATATAGGGATCAAACCTTGATTCTCGTATTCCATTGAATCTGCATAATAATGTAGAAAATATCTCTCTTTAACGGAATTAACTCTTTATAAAAAAATAGCAGAACTTATAGCGGATTCCCACAATGATTCCGACTCACTTCGTAACCTTTCCGCATTAAAATTATCGGCATCAGTCTTCCATTTTCCATCCATTAACAAATCATTCATTTTATAGTACCTAAGTAGTACAAAAACTGATTTAACAATAAGTTACGATTTTTCAAATGGTTTGTCTGCTGAAATATGTATTTCTCTTTCTTAAATCTATTGGGTTAAAGTAAATAATTTATTAAAATGTCTATCATCTTATTGCAATAAGCTGTTTTTTTGTTAATTTATTATGTAAAAAAATTTAATTTGTTAATTTACACAACAAAAGGAAATTTTACAATAATATCGTTATCGATTGTCGAGTGCGTTTGTTACCACATATTGAAGCGAGATAGGAATCGTCCACCCTCGAGGAATGCATTTAGTAGGTCCAATAACAAAAAAATAAATCGATTATAAACGTTTTTTTCATGGATAAATTTTGGCACTAAAGTGCCAAATTTCAACTTTCTTTTTTATTTTAAAAATGCTATCTAATATATCTGATTCTCAAATTTAAAAAATTCGAAAGAATTGATGAAACAGGCAATAAGAGTCAACGCGTAGAACTTGATGTGTAAGAAATTTTTTATCCCATAATTATTCAATGTTACTACATATACGTAATAAAATCCTTTCTTTATACGTTTCAGCCTTATTCAGGCTTTCTTCAGCGGTAAATAATATAATATATTAATACATCTTTATGTACAAATAAATAAATTTGCTACTATCTTTTAAATAAGTTCCGTATTGTGTGAGATGGGCTTCCACAGTTTCAAGATTACAAGCATACGCGATCTCTAATAATTAAAGAAACTCTAAATAGAGTAGTTAACAATCTCGAAGCTCATATATGTACCACTCGGTGCATTCACCACTGCTTGAACACATCAAGATGTACATAAATATATAAACCTTGAAACAATGAATTACAATGTTGTAAAGTAAAAACATTTTAACGTTACGCGTCTATTATCAAATTTAAAATGTTATTAATTTTGTCTAACTTGTATGCCCGTTGTAATAAAACCAAGTATATATAAATAATATAATAAATAATTAAAGCAAAACTGTAAGAAGCCTATGCATAAGCATATTATAATCAGATTGTTTATTTAAATTTCATCAGGATCGAGGAATATGCATGTAGAAATTCTGTGTTTGATTATAACTGGAGACTTTCCTTCTGAAGTTTAATATGTAACATTTCCAAGCTCTTTTATTCAAAAACTTTTCTGTATCTAATATTTTGACATCTCTCCAGTTAAACTTATGACGCAACTTACGTTCGGCGATCACCGATTAGATATTACGGTTAATGATGTTTCTATGCTCAGAGATTCTTGTCTTCAACTGTCTCTTCATCTGTCCAACATAAGATGCATCGCACATGATATTTTATAAACAATATTGTATTCATGAATCCAACAAAAGAACATCTTTATGTGTTTTTATTAATCCGTCAAGCTTATTGACTATAAATAATCCTAATTTTATATCGACATTCTTTACAATGTTTATGAATTTTTCAGAAAATGTTTGAATATACGAAATTGTAAACCATTCAACTTTATTAGTTGTCTCTGATGTTTTTATTTTATTTAGAATTGACGTAACTTTTTATTTATTCTAGTGTGAATTATTAGACTCTGACGACAATTACATTATATATTTCGTTCCGCTGGTCAACCAAGTTTCTATTAATATTTTTACAGAAGCCAAGATAAAGCTCGTTCAGTTTAACTAATTTCTTTTATCCCAATTATTCAATGTTACTATATATTTTTAATACAATCCTTTTTCATATACGTTTTGGCCTAATTCAGGCTTTCTTCAGTGATAAATAATAATTATAATACATCAAAATGACAAATTTTGAAATACAAATAACTTTACAAATAATTAAATCCGCTAATAACTTTCAATAAGTTTCGCATTATGTGAGATGGTCTTCCAATTGCAAGATTGCAAAAGCATACGTGATCTCTATTCATAATAAAGAAAACTTTAAATAAATAAAGTATAAACAATTTCAAAGCTCA